TTACACTCTGTTGGAAAAAGTTGTTCATGCACACAGGGATTTAATCTTCAGAAAGTCCCATTCATCAATTTTATCCTCTCCTGGTTGTTTCTTTCTGGCTACACTTGTCAGACTTTTTATACCATGGGCTAGTCCTTCTAAACTTGGTCCTACTTTGTCCCTTATGATCTTTATGGTTTTGGACTTTACTCCCAGGTCTGATTCACCTTGAGCTGATTTTTGTGTAGGGTGAGAGATGTGCATCCTGCTTCAGTTTTTTTCAAGTAGTTGTCCATCCAGTTTTGCCAATGCCATAAGTCCTTTTAATGGCTGCTTTATAATTAAATTTGTTCTTTCATCCAATCTATATGCCAATTCAGCGCCTACTGTGTTTGAAAGGATTGAGTTTTTAATGAGTGTTCCTGAAGCTCTGGTAATTTTTAAAGAAATGGTGCCACTGTTGTAGAATGGGTCTGACATCAGGGTGGGGGTATGACAGAAAAAAACTGGATAAATTATGTATATTGTATTGAAACAGATGAGGGAAAAAACAGATTAGAAGTGATATATGATTGAGTATTATGGTTAGCACAGGAATCCAGAATTAAGGTTGCATAGAGAAGTGTACTCGGGGTGGGGAGTCGGGGGAAGGGACATGGGAATTGTAATTTTTTTTCTCTCTTTGGAGGGGGAAGTGAGCTGGTGGGGAGGGGTGGGCAGGGAGAAAATTGTGGCAATGAATGAATGGAAATCCAAAACCTCTGTAAAAAAAAAAAAGAAATGCATAACAAAGAAGAATTATATTTCAGAAAACATTGTGACCTTCTCATTATATTTCTTTCATGCAGTGAATGAGCTTAAATATATGCTAGTCAAACAGTCTCACCATCACTTCTACCCCTCACTTTTAATTTTTCTAAGCCAGAGGAAAATAGATACAAACAAGAAATCTGTCATGTGGTCCAGCTGATCTAAACAAACATTTCTGTTCATCAGCAAAAGTGTGATTTTTATTAAAGCAAGTCCTAAATCTTGGCCTCAAATCTCCTACTTTTATTGTCTTTATATAAATGGGAAGAAGATCAGAATTGTTCATCATGGTCAAAGTTAAAATGAATCATAGAAGGTGCAAATAGAAGTTACAATTTTTTTAAAAAAGGCTTACTATAGATTGGTTTACCCAAGAACTTCTGCGGTCATCATGTATTCAGCCTTTACAGGGACTTTCCTTCCTTAGTTCACTGTTCACTTCAGTCGCTGTAAATGTAAATGTAATTCTTTCATAAATTCTATGATGCTCTTTCAAATCCACAGTGGTGGAGTGTGGTGCTTTGACAAGTCCTGCGAAAGGAACTGTGGAGTGTTTCCCAAAGGCTAGCAGCTTTCTATGGAACACGACCTGTGCATTCAACTGTGAAGAAGGCTTTGAACTACAGGGCTCCTCGAGTCTCCAGTGTACCTCATCTGGGAATTGGGACAATGAAATGCCAACTTGTAAAGGTAGGTACAGAAGTTTTCATCGCAATAATTATGATAAAACGCCAGCCACTAGTCCACCAGACATGCTAATCTAGCTAGTACATTGTGTTCCAGCTGTGACCTGTGGTGCCATCAGCCAGCTACGGAATGGCTCTGTGGTCTGTAACGACTCCCCTGCTGGACAGTTGGCCTTCCGGTCCTCCTGCAGTTTCGCCTGTGACCATGGCTTTAGGTTGCAGGGACCAGCTCAAGTTGAATGCACCTCACAAGGGCAGTGGACACACCAAACCCCAACTTGCAAAGGTGAGCCTAAGCTTTTTTCTCCTTTACAATTTTTAAAGAGCCTGGAAAAATGAATCCAGGTGCCTCTTAAATAGAGAAATTAGATTAGATGGGTAATGTTTATCTTGAATTTTCCAAGTTCGTAAAAAGAAAGACAATGCTTGGCCAAAGAGAAGACTGCATATAGTAAGAAAACTGGTATTTTATTGGCCTGTCCATGGTGCTGTGCTAATCTAACTCTGTAGACATTGGCACAGAGGAAAAAAATTTATAGCTGTGAGAATCTGATTTGAAGCTTGAACTAGTGCCGTAACTTGCTTCTAAAATCAATCAAAACAAATAATAACGACTGCTTCAGGTATGGCCAGACATGCTTAGTACATATTTAAACATGAAAATTTCATGCACTGTCAAATAAGAGCAAAAATATTGAAAATAAACAAATTCATGATAAGCCATGGAACTCTTTGTAGCCAGAGTATAGCACAGAATGCGTTTCGCTGTCACAGAATCACACCACCATACCTGAACTGTGAAGCAGACAATTCTAGGAATGTCTACTTCATTTTCTTTCTTTTTCAATGCATTCCGAATGCATTGAGGACCCATAAATTGCACTATGAATGAATGTATCCACACAAAGTGTTAGAAAACATGTAGAATTAGAAGGTATAAAAAGTGTTCAAAACAAAGCCATCTTGACTAAGGAGTGAGGAAGTATTTTGAGTTCTTTGAGTGTTTTCTGTTGAAAATGAATAGGTTCCCTTTTCAAATACCCAGAACCTTGCTGCTGTAAGCTGTTACTGAGTTGAGTAAAATTTATAGAGACCACATGAACAACAGATCTAAACCTGTTCTATCCTGTGGCATCCTCACAACAATCCGTGACCCTCAAACACACTGCTACAGTCCCTGTGTCAGTCCACGTGGTTGAGGGTCTTCCTCTTCTTCACAGACTCTCCATATTTCCAAGTATGATGTCCCTCTCCAAGGAATAGCCTCTTGTAACAATGTGTCAGAAGTAGATGAGATGAAGTTTCATCACCTTGGGCTCTAAGGCGCACTCTGCCTGCACCTTCTCCAAGATATATCTATTTGTTCTTTTGGCAGTCCATAGGATATTCAGCACTTTTCTCCAGTACTACAATTCAAAGTTCCCCCTAATCTTTTCTATCATTTTCATGTCTCAGCTTTGCAGTGCAAAGCCTTGACCAAGCCAGAAAGAGGCTACGTAGAATGTTTTCCTAGTGACTCTGGAATATTCCAAAATGGCTCCAGCTGTGAATTTTCATGTGAGCAGGGATTTGTGTTGAAAGGACCCAAAAATCTCCATTGTGGACCCACATGGGAATGGGACAGTGACAAACCTACATGTGAAGGTAGAGTTGTCTGTTTTGGTTTTTGTGTGTGTGTGTGTGTGTGTGTGTGTGTCATTACTTTTTGTTTAAAATAAACACTACTGAAGAGCTAGAAATTGTCTTGTTAGGATGACCTGCAATCAAACCTTTTTGTTTGTTTGTTTATTTATTTTTGTCTTCTAGCTGTGAAATGCGATGCTGTCAGCTCACCCCACAGTAGCTTCATGGAGTGTACCCACCCTCCTACTGGAAAATTCACCTCCAAGACCTCCTGCACCTTCAGCTGTAACAAAGGCTTTAAATTAGATGGATCAGCTCAACTTGAGTGCACATCTCAGGGACAATGGACAAAGGAGGTCCCCTCCTGCCAAGGTAAGACTGAGTTTGAGGGCTAGAGACCTTGGACTTCTTAAATATCTCTCTGATTCCATATTGCCCAGAGGATTTGACAGTAATTTGCTTCATTCTTCTTAGGAGTATATTTATGTTGATAGTTGTAACATGTGAACCTGTTTTAGGAATTTTCCAGTAGATTTTTCTTTATAAACTGCTTTATCCTTTGTAGCTGTTCAGTGTTCACGCCTGGCAGTTTCTGAGAAGATGAACATGAGCTGCAGTGGGGAGCCCGTGTTTGGCACCGTTTGTACCTTTGTGTGCCGCGAAGGGTGGATGCTCAACGGCTCTGCAGTGCTGACGTGTGGTGCCAGGGGACACTGGTCTGAGATGCTGCCCAGCTGTGAAGGTGATGCACTGACTGATGGTCTGGGGTCTAAGGCGAAGAAGGAATGTCATCTGACTGCAGGAATTAACTATCCACTAGGTCCACCCCCAAAAGTGATTCAGCTTAAAAAACTAAGACACATTTGTGGGTGTAGAAGATAAAACAGGATAGGTGATTGAAAGGATAAAATTCTGACAAATGGAGAAAAAAACCATTAAGAGAGAAGTGAAAATGAGAGAGACAAACACACAGAGAGAGCATGAGAATGAATAAGAACCAGAGAGAGAAGTACAGAGTTCTAAAAATGCCTAGCATTTAGTTGAAGTTCTGCTTGTTCAGTGGAAAGGGATTAGCCTGCCAACAGGGTTTTGAGCAGAAATCAAAGGTTCTTAATTCCACTTCTTAACATCAATATGTCAGAATAGATTGGGTTTTATACCTAGAGGAAAAGTCAAAAGAAAAGGACAGAAAGACATTAAAGCTAATTCTTGCTTCTGACAATTCTTCCCCTCTTGTTTCCTTAGCTCCCACTGAGTCCAACAATCCTTTGGTGGCTGGACTTTCTGCTGCTGGAACATCATTTTTGACAGTGGCATCCTTTCTCCTGTGGCTTCTGAAACGCCTTCGGAGGAAAGGTGAGGGTGTTCTGGAATGTACTCATTAAGTTTTGGACTTCCCCCCCCCCTTTTAGATGAGTCATTGACATCGTGGTCATCTCTTTCAAATTTAAATGATAATTAGAAATATATTCATGAAGCTCTATTGGGATAGTGAGTAGAAACTTTTGATGTCAACCCAAAGGTCATCTCTATTTAATTCACCAGTACTTCTGAGGGAGAAAGATAGACACTCTTTCCCCACACAATGGACAATCTTGGAATAACTACTGGAGGCTCAGCTATATGTCATTCAGAGACTTGATAGCAATGAGTGTTGAGAAACAAGTACCCAACCCAAACTAAGCCCACTACTTTGGAGTTGATTCAGATTAATGACAGCCCTCCATCAGATTTCTGAGACTGTATGTCTTTATGGGAGGAGACCATGTATCTTTCTGCTATGGAGCAGCTGGTGGCTTCAAACCATGAACCTTTGGTTAATAGCCTACCCACCCCAATTAAGCAATATACACTAAGAAAATCAAGTATAGTTAAATTGAAGTTTTAAGAAAAGAGTTAATAGTGCAATTGAAAGTGGGAAAAATTTTAGAACATACAGTGCTTTTCCACTGACAATTCAATTCAGATTTATAAAGACCACAACAGGCAGAAAACTGCCCGAGGGGTTTCTGAGGCTATATATTTTGACCCCAAGGAGTGGTAGGGTTACAAACCACTAGCCTTTCACTTAGCAATCCATTGTTTAACCCATAGCACCACGAGGGCATCTTAACATACCATTCTCACTCTAAAACCGTTGCTGGTGAGATTGACTAGACTCATAGTTGACTTTCCAAGTTTTCACAGGCTATAAATCACAAAGGAGGAGGTTCCTTATTTTTCCACCTTATGAGCCATTGATGGATTAGAACAAACTATCTTTGAGTTGGCAGTCCAACTCTTCACACACTAGTTGTGTTATAACCACTTTTAAAGATTCTCACGACTGAGCTGGTTTGGAGCATCATGCTAGATGGTGAAGTGATTGAGATTGTTAAGAGCTTTATTTTGCTTGGCTCCACCATCAACACTCTTGGTACTAGCAGCCAGGAAATTAAAAGACAAATTGCACTGGGAAAGTCTGCTCTCAGAGACTTCTCCAAAGTACTGAAGAGACACCATGTCAGTCTGGAGACTAAGGTGTCCCTGATTCAGACCATGGTCTTTGCAATTACTTACTATGCATCAGAAACCTGGACAATGACTAGGGATGAGAGAAGAATTGATGCCTTTGAGCCCTGGTGTTGGAGAAGAGTATTGAATATACCATGGACTGCTAGGAGAACAAACAGATTCATCCTGGAAAGGGTGAAACTAGGTTGCTCCTTGGAGGCAAGGATTCTGAAACTTTGTCTGACATACTTTGGACGTGCTGCAAGGCATGGTCAGTCCTTGGAGAGGGACATCATGCTTGGGAGTGTGTGGGGACAGCTCAAGAGAGGAAAACCCTTGAAGAGATGAATTGATTCAGTCTCGGGTAATAGGGGTATCTGTGTCAGAGACTAAAAGATTGGCATAGGATAGATCAAGGTTTATGGCTGTTGTAAATAGGGTTGGTATGAGTAGGAGATGACTCAACAGCACATAACCACGACGACAACAACAATAATATACTGTTATAAAATGATACGTTATTCACACTGAAATCTATGTCATATCCTCAAGTTGTGCAATGAGGCTGCCATTATTGGTGCACCTTTGATGTATTTGGGCTTAAAGGTTGAAGTATCTCTTAGGAAATATGAGCACATAACAGCTATAATGGAAATATCCAAACATGCTCAGTCCCTTTATGTTTGGTTTGACTTACAGGACATTTAAAAAAAGCCTCTGATAGTTATAAAAGCATGAAAATTCCCCCCAAATCCAGCTGTCGGACATGTCATGAAAATTGGAAGCTAAATCTGACAAGCTGAGCCTGCACTTGTTTTCTGGGGTCAGGGAGTCGTGGTGCCCACTATTTGGGAGAGTGGGTTTTTCCCAGCTCCTCATTTCCACCATGTTTCCCCTCAACTTGTTTTCACTCAAGACATTCCATTTGTAAACTTTTATGAATTGAATTGAGATGTATGGATTTTATGTGTTCTTAAGCACCACTTAGTCCTAATTAATGGTTTTCTTTGTCTTACAGTAAAGAAATTCGTGCCTGCCAGGTATGTTACATTCTTCCACAAAGCGTGCACTGAACATTCTCCACTTTGTTCTTTCTCTTCCTGTTGGAATGCAATCCTTTACTTATTGTTCTCTTGCATTTACACAGCAGCGCCTTCACCCTGCAAGCAGATGACAACAGCCAAGCTCTTGTGGAGTTGCTTTAAGTCCAAACAAATCAGGTAAGGCTTTGGAATCCTATTTTACTATGCTGATAAGAAAGCGCTCTTCTCTCTTCATGTTCGGTTGGTCTTCAAACCTGAAAATTTATTAAAGAAGATGCTATTTTCAAAGTATTTTGTGCATAACTGCTACATGTCTTTGTAGAAGGGGAGGCTAGGGACAGGGGATCTTAGTGATTCCATTTATGAAATAATAATAACGAGGATGATAGCTATATACTCAACTTATTACTGTAAGGTCTGAATTGATTTATAACTGGCTGCCCAGTCAGTCCTGGAGGCTGCAGATGACACAGGAGGAGATTGCCTAACGTTCTCCTAGAGAGCAGCTGGTGAATTTGAAGTACAAACCTATGGGGTAGCAGTGCAAATCCTTATTCTATAGGCCACGGGAACTGAATAGTAACCCTTATATAGAGTTTCTTTGTGCCAGGTACTATTGTAAATGACAAATTCATAGAGAAATTAGCTTAAATGTAACTCAAACCACCTAGATTGTAGGAAATACTATATTCTCACTCTGCAGATGAAGAACATTATCAAAGGAAATACAATTAACCTGTCTAAAATCTCAAAGGTACATGATATATCCAGGATTCAGCTTCCTGACTTTATATTCTCACTCTTTCATTTAATAATTCTGTACCCCCTAGGCAACATTTCTTATTATTCTTCATTAGTAATTAAAAAAATTGTGATAAAAATATCTCTAAAAGTCAACCTTTTGTTCTTGAGTCAGAATCAACTTATCGCTGATCCTACAGTGGGTTTTCCTGGCTGTATATTACAAAGGAGATATTTGTTGCAGAACCTCTGATGGATTTGAATCTCCAGTGATGCAAGGCCTTTGGGTTATGAGCACAACAGTGTACTTACCACACCACCAGAGCTATGTACACACAGATATAGAGACACAGAGAGGGAGAGAGAAAATGTAAAAGTAGAGAAATGGCAAATGTTTTGTTTCTTAAACGCATGTGCTTGTGATAGAGTAAGATGGAGAACAAGAAAAAAAAAAAGGTTGACATGCTAGAGACTTGGTTATATATACCTGTTTGTCATCTTATTGATATTTATTATAGTTCAACATTCAATTCACAAAATGTACCATTTCAAGAATTTTTTTAGGTGTGTAATCCTTAAACATAGTCATGCTGTGTCCTCTTAATCACATTTCATTTTTACGTTTTTTATCACTCAACAGCAGCGTAGTGCCTGGTTAACAATGAGCTGGTATATGACCTATTTCATAGGACTAATTGATCGCTAACAGAGTTTACTGATTAGATACACACAGGAATTGGTTAGAAGTTTATATTAAACAAGAATCATCCCTGATAACTTCAGTTAGAATATTAAAAGGGTTTCAGAAACCTGAAAGAGTGTCAGTAGGAGTCAGAATTGATACAATAATGCTGGGTTTGTGTTTGATCCTAGAACCTAGGTTTTTTTATTACAATTAGTATGTGAAAACATTAAGTGTTCTGATCACATCTCCTTCTATTTGCAGAAACACAGCACATTCCAGGGAACTGGATGATCACTGAATAGAACAAGGCACAGAGCTCTTCTTGGATCTTTGGTCTTCTCATCTACCATCTTTCTGCCTTATAGCTGTATCTGGGGCATCTACTAGGAAGGATTTCAACAGTCTGAAAAACAGTGGGCAAAGCCAGGCTATAAATTAAAAGACACAGGTTTCTCTTTGCTACTCTCCGAAATCAGGGAATGGTTGGTTACTGGAGGGAAAGGATATTCTGTTCCAGGGTAAATTGAGGAAGCTGGTGCTGTGACATGTCAGAATTCCCTTCCTAATCTCCCCTGCTCACCACAAATCATCCCTGGGAAGAAATACCATACTTTGTGACTTTGTGTCTTGCTGTGTTCCTCACAGTGATTCCACTTCTGATGGCATGGTTGTCACCACATGGTAGTGAATAATAATTTAGAATAGTTTATAGGAAACAAATTGAACAGAAGTATTTCGGTACTAACTTGGAAAAGTGTTGTGGTTGTTGAGAGGAGTTGTTAAGGCTGGCACAAGTTCTTAAAACGTGCATGCATTCTGGAAAGATTATGGAGCACAATATTATTATTTTTTTATTCCTGTGGGATTCTGTGCATTTAAAAAGTATTCTTCTTCTTCTTGTTACGTGTTATCTGGTCGGCTGTGATCTATAGTGCACTTATGTGCAACAGGTTTGAAGCTTGACCATCCTGAGCCAATCTCACTGATTCTGAAACACCAACCCTCATTGCCCCAGTCACTGTCTCAATCTGTCTTATCTGGGGTCTTCCACTCCTGCACTGTGCCTCCACCCTTCCAAGCATGCTTGGAGCACGTTATTTTTCTTTTCATTAAATTTAGTGTAATGTTCCATAAATCACAGACAACTTGAAGGCACATAACAACAACAACAACAATGTTCCATAATTCTCTCTCATCCAATGTGTTGTAGAGACATCAGAAACATAGAAACATTAGAGATAATGATAAGTTAATATTTTCATTTCCAATATTAACATCTTTACATTTTTAACATTTCCATAATGTTAGTTCTATAGTAAATTTCTTTCAGAAAGAGAAAATATTTTCCTCTAGAATGCATCACATTGACCAAAATAAAAACTTGAGTGTCTTCCTACAGAGTTAAAAACTTGACTATTATTAGGAGTGCTTGAAAAAGTCAATGGAGAGTGAAACAGAGGATGATTCTCAATGAGAGGGATTGAGATAGTGACTGAAACAATGGGGTTGGATGGAGAAGATCATGAAGATGGTGCAGGACAGGACCAGGCTTTGACTCAAGATTCCTAGAGTCACTACCAGTCCTGGTAAACTCTATGACACCTAACAACACACAACAACAGTAGTAGAAGACTAGACACTGGATGGAGATTTTATATTGTGTCAGTGTTTTGTGTGTATGTATTTGCTTTTAAAGAATGTAAACTTCATCATAGGAAAATCTTTCAAGTTGTCCAATGTCCTGATTTTATAAAAGGAATCATGAAACAAATTAAAGTATAATCTTATGAAGGTCTCTATTGAAAGAAAAAAATGGACCTATGGATGTACACTACTCTTCCCATATAAACATCTTTAGAGGTGAAGTGTTTGCAATTGCTGTTGGTCAGATAATTATAAATCCAGGTTGGTCTTCACCATGTGAAGTACTTCCCTACTGGGTTTAGAAGCATAAAAGTTTCGTATGTTTATTTCCTTCTTTTTTTTTTCTTTTATTCTGTACGTTAGGTAGTTCTGAAAGCAGGAAAACCTATATGAGCAAGTGTTTGTATTTATATACTGAGTTGATGATTCCCAAGCAACCTCTGGGTATGTGGCCACCAGCAGTGGGAACTACTCCATCAGTAACTGTGAACATTACACTAGACAAACTGGTGTGAGAAGGAAAATTCTGCCATCAAACTGGCATGTGGTCAAAGGGAAAGTTTTTTTTTTAAAGTGTTGCTCACATTTGGGTCATGGTTAATTCACAAGAATACAACATGGTGTGATAAAATAAAGATCGGACAGCAGAGGTTTTGTAATTGGTAGAAAAACTTTCAGGAATAAACAGAAGTCAGAAGGTAAGAGTGAAGGAAATGCCCATTGCTGTAATCAAGGTTGCATATAGAATTAAATATTTTCTTGAATATTTTTATAAAGATATTGCAAATATATGTTAATACATTGTAAATAGTAGAAAAGAGAAATATAATGTGCTTTTAAAAGTATTTAAAAGTATTTATAATGTATTTTAAACACCTTTATGAAGGATATTATAAAGATTTTAAAGTTTGTTGTTATTGTGTTGTATTTACATAAGCTCACATCAACCTCTTTTTATTGTCATGACTCTATAAGATTCAATAATAAACATATTTGTTTTTATCTCTGTGTAGAAGCTCTTTATTAAAATTTTATGTTATTTAGAGAAAATTTCCAAAGCATGAGGTTTTTTTTGGGGTTATTTTTTTGTTTTGTTTTGTTTTTTTCATAGCATGAGTTTTAGTGGAAGGAATGTGCAATTATTTCTGGAGCCAATACTAAAACGGGGACAGAGCAGACAGGAAATGCTGAGGCGAACTCTCCTCTCATGCTGTTGTCTCCTGAGTGTTCTTTATTAGTCAGACCAATTGCCAGTGAGCAGTAGTTGTAGTCTTCAGAAGAGAAAAGGGTAAGAATTGTGGGCAAGGAGGGGAAGAGTCAAACAAAACCAAACCCAAAACACTGCCATCCAGCCGGTTCTGGCTCATGGTGTGGTTAAATGCCTACTCGTTATTTCTGTTGAGTCAAAAATTACTCGTTCATGGCTGACCCTCCAGCAAATTTTCAGAGGTAGGAAATCATGTGGGGGGAGACCGTCCTCTTGCAGAGCAGCTAGTGGATTCCAGCTGAATACTTTGGGTTGGCAATGCAATTTCTTACCTCGTGGTTACATCTATTTGATTTCAACGGACAAAAGGTAATTGCCCATCTTTCTCCTCCTAAGTGGCTGATGGGTTAAAACTGCTGAAGCTCAAGTTAACAGCCCAATGCATAAGGTACCACATCATGTGGGCCTTTTGAATAGAAGAAAGTAAACACAAAATGACCCAAGTAGAGCACATCACTGCTCTGCTCAGAATCCTTTAATGGCTTCTTACAGGTCATGGTTTTTGCAATCACTTGTTATGCATCAGAGAGTTGGACAATGACTAGGGAGGATAGAAGGAGAATTGACACCTTTGAGCTGTGGTGCTAGAGAAGAGTATTGAATGTACCATGGACTGCCAAGAAAACAAACAGATTCATCCTAGAGAGGGTAAGCCAGTCTGCTCCTTGGAGGCAAGGATTCTGGGGCTTCGCCTGACATACTTTGGACATGTTGTAAGGAGAGACAGGTCTTTAGAGAGGGACATCATGCTGGGCAGAGTGGAGGGACAGTGCAGGAGGGGAAGACCCTCTATGAGGTGGATTGATTCAGTGACTGGGGTAATCG